GCAACAATTCATTCGGGCGCACGGCACCCGATTCCCCCAGATGTGCTCTCGGAGTCGCGCCGCGGGCTCGTTGGGGTGCGTTGTGACGAGCCTTGTTGTAAGGCGGCTCCGGGCACTTGGGAGGGGAATAAACCTCAAACATCCTTGAACCAATCCAGTTCACCGCCGTACGGTCGCTTCAAATACAGTGAGGGAAAAAAGTATTTGATCTCCTGCTGATTTTGTACGTTTGCCCACTGACAAAGAAATGATCAGTCTATAATTTTAATGGTAGGTTTATTTGAACAGTGAGAGACAGAATAACAAAAAAAAAATCCAGAAAAACGCATGTCAAAAATGTTATAAATTGATTTGCATTTTTATGAGGGAAATAAGTATTTGACCCCTCTGCAAAACATGACTTAATACTTGGTGGCAAAACCCTTGTTGGCAATCACAGAGGTCAGACGTTTCTTGTAGTTGGCCACCAGGTTTGCACACATCTCAGGAGGGATTTTGTCCCACTCCTCCTTGCAGATCTTCTCCAAGTCATTAAGGTTTCGAGGCTGACGTTTGGCAACTCGAAACTTCAGCTCCCTCCACAGATTTTCTATGGGATTAAGGTCTGGAGACTGGCTAGGCCACTTCAGGACCTTAATGTGCTTCTTCTAGAGCCACTCCTTTGTTGCGTTGGCCGTGTGTTTTGGGTCATTGTCATGCTGGAATACCCATCCACGACCCATTTTCAATTCCCTGGCTGAGGGAAGGAGGTTCTCACCCAAGATTTGACGGTACATGGCCCCGTCCATCGTCCCTTTGATGCGGTGAAGTTGCCCTGTCCCCTTAGCAGAAAAACACCCAAAGCATAATGTTTCCACCTCCATGTTTGACGGTGGGGATGGTGTTCTTGGGGTCATAGGCAGCATCCTCCTCCTCCAAACACGGCGAGTTGAGTTGATGCCAAAGAGCTCCATTTTGGTCTCATCTGACCACAACACTTTCACCCAGTTGTCCTCTGAATCATTCAGATGTTAATTGGCAAACTTCAGACGGGCATGTATATGTGCTTTCTTGAGCAGGGGGACCTTGCGAGCGCTGCAGGATTTCAGTCCTTCACGGCGTAGTGTGTTACCAACTGTTTTCTTGGTGACTATGGTCCCAGCTGCCTTGAGATCATTGACAAGATCCTCCCGTGTAGTTCTGGGCTGATTCCTCACCGTTCTCATGATCATTGCATCTCCACGAGGTGAGATCTTGCATGGAGCCCAGGCCGAGGGAGATTGACAGTTCTTTTGTGTTTGTTCCATTTGCGAATAATCGCACCAACTGTTGTCACCTTCTGACGCAGCTGCTTGGCGATGGTCTTGTAGCCCATTCCAGCCTTGTGTAGGTCTACAATCTTGTCCCTGACATGCTTGGAGAGCTCTTTGGTCTTGGCCAAGGTGGCGAGTTTGGAATCTGATTGATTTCTTCTGTGAACAGGTGTCTTTTATACAGGTAACAAGCTGAGATTAGGAGCACTCCCTTTAAGAGTGTGCTCTTAATCTCAGTTCGTTACCTGTATAAAAGACACCTGGGAGCCAGAAATCTTTCTGATTGAGAGGGGGTGAAATACTTATTTCCCTCATTAAAATGCGAATTAATTTATAACATTTTTGAAATGCGTTTTTCTGGATTTTGTTGTTGTTATTCTGTCTCTCACTGTTCAAATAAACCTACCATTAAAATTATAGACTCATCATTTCTTTGTCAGTGGGCAAACGTACAAAATCAGCAGGGGATCAAATACTTTTTTCCCTCACTGTATATGCGGTGTCAAAGTATTTGGCGAAGCTCTCGTTTGCAATGCAGCTTCATAGCGCATCAGATTCCTCTAGTATAAATACAGATTGGGATTCTGATTCTGCAATGGTACACAAGCAAAAAGTAACACAAACGCTCATGGACAGAGTTTGGGGTGGGGGGCACTGGGGGGCAACCCCCCCCCCCTCCGGACTGGACACCTTTATTAAATTATTTTCAGTAGTTTACAATTAAGATTCAAAATAAATTAATTATATGCACCTGCGATTTTTAATATGAGGGACAAAGTGAACCCCTGCCCTCTCCCCCCCGCTGCCCCCAAATATAGGAGTAAAAACTCTGCCTATGAGCGGTGCCTTGCAGCAAAGAAAAAAAACTAACAAAATAACAAATTTTTTTAACAAAAAACAAAAATAAACAAACAAAAAATAAACAAGAAAACTAACAAAAAACCCAAAATAAACAACCAAAAATTGAAAAATAGCAAACAAAAAATTAACAAAAAAACTAACAAAAAACTAAAACAAAAATTAACAAAGAAACTAACAAAAAAATTAAATAAACAAAAAACAAAAAAACTAAAAACTAACAAGAAAACAAACCCACACGTTTGCTTGTCGCGCAGGTGAAAACCCTGAGCGAGGAGATGGCAGCGCTGGAAGAGAACATCGCCAAGCTGACGAAGGAGAAGAAGGCCCTGCAGGAGGCTCACCAGCAGACGCTGGACGACCTCCAGGCGGAGGAGGACAAAGTCAACTCCCTCACCAAGGCCAAGGCCAAGCTGGAGCAGCAAGTCGACGAGGTACGTCGACCCTGCCATGGCGCAGCCCTGCGAGTCGTTTGCGTGTGGCCGGCCGATCGACCCAACGTGGTCAACCCGTTAATACTGCTCAGTGGACAGAGGTGCGAGGCGGGGAGGGAGGGGGGAGGATGAAATAAACTTTCCCAATGAATTGATCACGACCATGGATCGTGACGATCCCGAAAATTAGCTGGGTGTTGTAGAATTCTAGATTTGAAGCTTTCGTGACTGCAAGGATTCATATTCTTAGGTTTTTTTTCGGTAAAGTCACGTAGGTAAACAATTAAAATGAATAAAAGTAAAATTAAAATAAAATAAAAATCACGACGTTTCGGAGGCAACACAAGCTTCCGTCTTCAGGTGGAACCGTCACAGCACGCTTGCTGTATCAAGTGAGAGAAATTCCAAGAAACAGTATTTGTATATATACTGGTTGAGGGTGGGAGGAGTCAAGGTAGTCCCTGGATATTATTTTTGTGAGGTTCGACAATTCTTGTCATGAACCGTCCCACCACCTGACAAGATTGTCAGGTATTATTAGTATTAGTACTCGAATGGTAAATGTTGTGGGTTTACTCTCCAACACACCGGTGTGCTGAACTAGTAACAAATTGGCACGTTTTGTTTACGTGACAAACCGTGTTGATTGGCTGTGTCGGGTGGTGGCGGGTTTAACCACGTGTTTATATTTACGTGATCTAGCACCAAAAACCACTATTATGGATTATCAATATTATTATTAATACGTTGCCAATGTATTGACCAAATTCTGACCAATAAAAGCTCCTCACCAGTGGCTTCAGACTTTTCACGGCTGAATTCAACATCACCGCACGATCACGTTTCCGTCAAACTTCTTTGAATTTCATCTGACAATGAACCCAGAAAGCAATGGCAGATACATTACTGGTTGAGGCAACAACACCACAAGAAATGTGCCTCCGGGCTTTGGAGACCACCTGGGGAAGATTCCAGGCACGTGTTGACAATGATGGCGAACAAGTGAATTTTTAAAGTTCTTAACATACATTTGTTATCACGTTACAGTGTATTATCAGTTCTTTTTCCATAAAAAAACGATAGTCCCATATTATTGTTAACATTTTTTTGAAGCACTCTGTATATGCAATATTAATTTATTCATTCCAGGGCAAAATGCTAATGTGTACAATCATTCATTACGCCCTACATTCATTTCTGCGCAGCTTGAGGGTTCTTTGGAACAGGAAAAGAAAACTCGCATGGACGTCGAAAGGGCGAAGCGAAAAGTGGACGGCGACTTCAAAATGTCCCAGGAGGCTGTGACAGACCTAGAAAATGACAAACAGCAGCTGGAAGAGAAGATGAAAAAGTAAGCCGAGCACCGAATTCACCTCGCGAAGCACCGCGCGTGGCTGACCGTTCGGAACCCTCTCTGTGCCCCGCCGTAATATCGTCTGTGTGTGCCATTCGCACACCGCCCACAGCACCACCCATTACCATTCACGACCATTTGCAATGTGAACTTGCGTGGCAGCTAAACGCAACTGCATATGAAGAGGCTGTACACAACAAGCGGAATGTGCATTTGCACGTGGGGAAATTGAGCACAATAATGTTGGATTGTCATTTCAAATGAGTGGATGCAGGTTAAATCTGCAAGACCGCTCATGCCGTTGTTTTCCATGATGCTTTGCTTATTGTAAGATCAGTGCTGTGTGTGCAGTTCTTTGTCTTCAGCTTACACGGGAGAAGCAGCCCTGTTAGCAGAAGCGTGAATCGCACACGACATGCCCAGTTTGAAAACCCTGCTTTTGAAACGTGCGATTATATGCATGGTATACTGCGCATTACAACGTGTAATCATTTTTTGGATTTGTTTTATTAAAGGAAAGACGTGAAATCGGACAGACCAACTCAAAAATGCAAGATGAAATGGCCCTCTCAGCTCAGCTACAAAAGAAAATCAAGGAGCTGCAGGTAAAAGGAGGGCGCCGATAAGGCAAACTTGACTTATTATTACGAACGCTGAAGCTCAAACCGAGGGGTGCCCTGGGGGAAAAAGTAGATGACCTCGTGTTTAATACTTAGATAACGCACACCGACGCAGGCCATGGAGACCTGCGTCAAGAATCAATTGGGGTCACGCAACGAGATGATTGTAGGGGCACAGCTCATGGCTCACACACCACCACTCCCCTCCCGTCTAAAAATTGGGGGGGAACTTAGGGGGGGGGGTAGCTGCCACCCCCCTATGTGCCTTGCCATGTCCATGACCGGCGTGATGCACCCACGTTTCGCCCCACGTTGCTTCAGTTGCACGTCGGACAACGCGCGGTGCAACCTGAACGAACGCCGGAGAGCAACTTCCAAACTTCCACCCCGTGGAATCCCCCCGTTGTATTTCAGGCGCGCATCGAGGAGCTGGAGGAGGAGATCGAGGCGGAGCGTGCCGCTCGCGCCAAGGTGGAGAAGCAGAGGTCCGACCTCTCTCGGGAGCTGGAAGAGATCAGCGAGAGCTGGAGGAGGCCGGCGGAAGCCACCTCGGCTCAGATCGAGATGAAACAAGAAGAGGATGCGCGAGTTCCAGAAGCTCAGGAGAGACCTGGAGGAGGCCACCCCTGCAGCACGAAGCCACGGCTGCCGCCTTGAGGAAGAAGCAGGCCGACTCCTTGGCGAGCTCGGGGAGCAAGATCGACAACTTGCAGCGCGGTCAAGCAGAAGCTGGAGAAGGAGAAGAGCGAGTTCAAGATGGAAGTCCGACGACCTCAGCAGTAACGTGGAGCAGATCACAAAGTCCAAGGTGGTCAAACCCGTGAAAGCATTCTCTCTGTGTATAGCATCGATGAATTTTGTTTCTGGGCGGTATTGAGGCAGGAAATTCCAACCGCAGATCCTGTTTATCCTGACCGGTTTAGGCAACTGTGGCTGTAACACCTTTGCTACCTTGCCTCAGCTGTTTATGGAGTGCCCATTGTGTTTTATTCGTACTTTCATAAGCTCTTTTCTTTTCCTTTTCCCTGCAGATTAATTTTGAGAGGTTATCCAAGTCTTTGGAAGATCAGATTTCTGATTTGAAGTCAATTAACGAGGAAAAGCTCCATTCCGTGAATGAACTTACTACTCAAAAAGCCAGAATGCAGACAGAAGTTGGTAAATATTTATTCTATCATAATGAATGCATTAAAATATTAATGTCAAAATACTGAAAAGAAATCACGTGGTAAAGTTCAACTTCCCAACATTGTATATAACGTAACATTCACATTTCACATTTAAATGCTTTCGACTGTGTTTTCTTTTTTTACACGACACGTTCACCGCCAACAGGCGAATTATCTCGTAAGCTGGAAGAAAAGGAGACTCTGACTGGGCAGCTCTCCAGAGTAAAACAGTGCAACAGCCAACAAATTGAGGACTTGAAGAGACAACTCGAGGATGAAGTGAAGGTACCAACGAAACCCGAGATGCCGACTTGGATACCGGCCATCGTCATTGCCAATCATCGCTTTACTCCTCATGAACACCGCACGAGTGAGTCTCACCCCGTGACCATTCCCCCCCCCCCCCCCCCGTTCCTCCGCATTCGCATGCCTTTTTCATTTCATTTGTACATGCACACACACACATGCCGACTCATTTCCCACTCGCTCCCCCATCTGATCGATTGACGGCTGCCACCTTCGCCCATGATTTTCTCCAAGTTGGGCATTTATCCCACGCGCATCTGAATTGCATCCCGTTGCCAGTTGCACGCAGTCACGGAAATGTACGTGGAGCCGGCCGTCGGTCCCGTGCATTTTTCGTAAAAGAAAAAAAAGTTACGGTGCCAACCAGCCGAAGCTTAAACAATGTCTTCTTGGTTCTTGCGGTAAAGAACCAAGAAGATGAATCCCTGCAGTCACGAAAGCTTTAAATCGAAACTTAAAGAATGTCTTATGCTGCAGCTGTCCCTTGGAGAATATCTCGCTTGGGAATAACTTACTATTATTAGACTCGACAGGCCCTGGTGCTATATTTAGCACGATCGGTACGCACGTTGTCCCCTGCGAGTGTTTATTTGTGTGGGCCTCAAGGAAGACAAAGTATATATTTCAGCCAGTAAAATTATATAACCTCGTGATTGTAATTATGGCTATGGGAATCTTAGAGGGCAGAAGTGGCACCCCCCCCCCCCACCACCACAAATGGGTGCATTATTTCCAGTACTCATTTGTAACAAGTAATTGCTTATGGGAAGCGATGCTTTACGTGGTGTAAAAGAGAGAGTAACCTGTAAACGTGTTGTGCATTAACTTTTAACACAACACGAAGACGTCATTTTCTACCGACATGTTTTGAGGTGCTACCTTTGCGCTGTTTGCCATGATGCGCGGTGTTTCACTTCGCACGGTGGGACGTTGTACGGGAACGAAATTGACGAAGGCGCCCAAGAGGCCCTCCTCCGTTCGTCATGGATACGGAGTGCTGAAATCAGCCCATATCCGGGAACGAGATTTATTTGTGCATCGCAGCCGGTCCGTGAGATACGGCGGCAGATTGATCATGGCTGATGATGATGATGAAACAGGAGGAATTTTCCACAATTCTGGCTGTCGCCTGATGAGGCTGGTTGTAATTATCGGCTAAACGTCGTATTCGAATTGTAAATGTTGTGGGTTTACTCTCCAACACACAACCGGTGTGCTGAGCTCACAACTAATCGGCACATTTTGTTTACGTGACAAACCTCACTAATTGGCTGTGTCGGGTGATGGCGGGTTTCACGACACATTTATATTTACGCGATGTAGGCCCAAAAAAACCGTCTCCGTCATTGACGAAATTAACGAATATTTCGAAACATTTAGGCCAAGAACGCCCTGGCCCACGCCGTGCAGTCGGCAAGGCACGACTGCGACCTCCTCCGCGAGCAGTTCGACGAGGAACAGGAGGCCAAGGGCGAGTTGCAGAGGGCCATGTCCAAGGCCAACGCCGAGGTGGCCCAGTGGAGGACCAAGTACGAGACCGACGCCATCCAGAAGACCGAGGAGCTGGAGGAAGCCAAGTGAGACCAGCGATGAGATTTCGCAACGCAACCCGGGCACCCTCGGACACGCGGACGCGGGCAGTGACCCGTCCTCGTTCAATGTTGTCGCTGCCTTGCAGGAAGAAGATTGCAGTCCGTCTCCAGGAGGCAGAAGAGCACATTGAAACGGCCAACGCGAAGTGTGCTTCTCTTGAGAAGACCAAGCAGCGTCTGCAAGCGGAGATCGAAGACCTCACGACTGACATGGAGCGAGCACGCTCAGCTGCGACAGCTCTCGACAAGAAACAGAAATCCTTTGACAAGGTAAGAACACATCACAGCACAATGCTAACGACGACATTGCGCTGTGATGTGAGATGCCGCCGTGGTGTTCTAGCACCCTGGACTTGCGACCCGGAGGTCGCCTGTTCGTTATCACGCGCGCGGCAATTGAAGCAACGGTGCAAGTTTCTTAAATCCTCTGCAGCGCCCTGCGTCCGTCCACCCAGCAGTGTAAATTGATACTCTACGGTTAGTCGAATGGCAGGTCCTGGATGGTGTGGCCAAGGAGTTGTGCACATTGAACATCTTAACACCTCCTGTTTCATTGCCAGAAAGGGTAAAACCTATTCTCATTTTTCATACTCTGATACTGGAAAAAAAGGTCTTCATAGATATAGCTGCTCAACCCGAGCTGTCGATGCTCTGATACGTACATTGTCTTTGTACTCTTCGCCTGTAGGCATTCTCTGGTCTGACACTGGTGAGGCTGTCTCTGGTGTAGGCCAATCCGTTTCAAGTACAATGCCACATATTACACTGGTCAACAAAAAAAAAATTTTGGCCTGGACTTTTGCAGCTGTTTTAGACTAATTTCAGGGTGCTGATTCCAAATCTGATCTCAGATTTGCTCTATCACATCTAATTTTTATGCTATCGGCATACCCCATTTCCATTTATTTTACCCGAAATTAACTCTGTCACTTATGATTGCAAGTTGTTGCGAGTCAGTGACTGCTTTAGTGTTAAAATATGGTGCTGTATTTTTAGGATAGTGTGTTTATAATATAATATTATGTAGATATCCACATTTATTTAATATTTTTCTTCTGCAGTTTTTATTGAAAATGCAATATTTGAAATCTAAAAAACCGGATGTGATAGACAAAAACTGATGCCAGATTTGGAATCAGCACCCCAAAATTACCTTAAAACCGTCAGAAAAAGTGTGTTGACCAGTGTTATCACAGCATGTTTTATTTGCATGTTCCCCACAAGTACGTGCGGTTAATGCAGACTTGATTCCTTGCAAAAGGTATTTATTTGGTGTTTAAACATCTTAACAACTCCTGTTTTATTGCCAAAAAGGGGTAAAACCTATTCTTATTTTTAATACAGTCCTGATGTGGTTGATCACCGATATGTATTTGAAGTATGGTCAACCAAACCCCACGACTGACGCAGCAAAGCGGAGGCTTCACATGACGGTGGGCTTACAAAGGGCTGTAAATGAAACATTTCATTCCATTAAAAAAATATGTCACAACGAAACGGCGCAGAGGCACATATTGCGCACGAGTGGATAAAGTTGTGCCGCTGTGCTTCTTTGGATGATGGCCATGTAATTGTCATCCAGGTTATGTCCGAGTGGAAACATAAGTGCGAGGAAAGCCAGGCTGAGCTCGAGGGGTCCCAGAAGGAAGCACGCTCGCTCAGCACGGAGCTGTTTAAGATTAAGAACGCGTACGAGGAGGCGCTGGATCAACTTGAGACAGTCAAGCGAGAGAACAAGAACCTCCAGGGTAGTAACGCGTTGTCTTGCGAGCGCATCATTGTCCTATTGCCGACTGAAATAATTACATCCGTTTTTGTGATTTAAAAAAAATGCCATTTCGCTCTTCCACCGCGTCGGCTCTCGCGCTCTGCGGTGTGATTTTCGGGGCAGCACCACGTGACGCTTGGCAACGATGTCCGTCGCTTCGCTGCACGTGCTGGGAGCTTTTTCAGGAACGACTCCCGCGCTAAGAGGGAAATTTCAGACACCGCGCCAAATGATACCGCACCTCCGATTAGCACGGTTGGTTACGTACGGTGCAAAAGAAGTCCGACGTGCATACAACACGTGGTAGCGCCTCGAATAACGCACCGGAGAGTCGTTTCCCTTTGTACGTCTGAATCGATGAATTAAATGTGAACTTTTTTTTGAGTTTCAGAAGAGATTTTTGACTTAACCGAACAACTCGGAGAGAGTGGTAAGAATGTACACGAGCTGGACAAGTACAGGAAGCAGCTCGAGCAAGACCAGGCGGGCCTGCAGGCCTCTCTCGAGGAAGCGGAGGTGAACGCCGAAGTGTGAGCGCGTGTCCCGCGGCCTCCATTATCAACCGCATCATCTGCAGTTTCTGCAGAACCACTGTAAATTGCATTACAAAAACGTCAACACGTTCATCAATAACAGTGCCGGAATAACGAGGAAAAATATAAATGTTTTTTTTTAGATTGATTCGGATATTCTATTATAAACCACGGGGCTATAATAAGAAAAATATATACGCAAATATATAACTTCAAGGACGTTTTTTTATTACATTAAATTTCAAATCAATGGCTATCTAGTATTAAATATTAATAACGCAAGAAATTGCGGTTTTAATGTTTGATTACAGGCTTCTCTGGAGCACGAGGGAGGCAAGATTCTCCGGGTGCAGCTCGAGTTGAACCAGGTGAAGGCAGAGGTCGACCGCAAGATCGCCGAGAAGGACGAGGAAATCGACCAGATCAAGAGGGGCTTCCAGCGCACCGTGGAGTCCATGCAGGCGACGCTCGACTCAGAGACCAAGAGCAGGAACGAGGCCCTCAGGCTGAAGAAGAAGATGGAGGGAGACCTCAACGAGATGGAAATCCAGCTCAACCACGCCAACAGGCAGGCGGCCGAGTCTCAGAAGCACCTGCGCAACGCGCAGAACCAAATGAAGGTATTGCTCAGTGCATCATTCACCAGCCTTTATTTGACACGTTACAAGTACAGAGCCTGGCTTTCTTTGTGTAAGACTGCACCTCTACCTTGGTTGGGCCTTTTCACTGAAATATTTGTTCAATGTAACTAATCATCCCTATTGGTTGATAAAAAAACAAGTACAACTTTGTGGGATGCCAAGAGTGGTTGTTGTTGGCTCTATGGTAGGGCTGGGGAAATCATTTCCTGACTGAGGGTTGAACGGCCCTTTGGCGGGCCATGCATTTGCACAAATACAAAGATCCCCCTATAGCCTTAACTTACTGTTGGGGCAAGTACAGTTGCGAGTAGCACCTATGAAGGCAAGGCACTATGGCACACGAGGGGTTGGGTGGTTAACACCACGCCTCGCTGCCTTTGTCTCCCCCAGTGGTGATGATTCCAGACCGCACCAGATACACATTTGAGGTTGAGTCGACCTAGGAACCGGTTCAGAATAATCGTCACTGGTGTTGTGGTGGCCGTGAGCGGGGATTGAACTCGGCTTCGTCGGGTTCGTAGGCTCAGGGCGCTAACCGCTACACTGCCGTTTGCCACCAAAGACAAAGGTTCCCCCGTGTAGCCTTAGCAGACTGTTGGGGCAAGTGCTGTTAGCGAGCAGCACCTATGAAGGTCACGCATTTGCAGACACACACACACAGCTCAAGGTGGCCTGCAAGGTGCCCGAGCAGGGGCAGAAGTGACTGAGGGTGCTAAAATTAGGAACACCGTGGTGGTGTTGTTGTTGCCGGGTACAAAATGTGTTCCTGCATACTAATATAACACATTCCTGCGGAGGGAGCTGGTAGGAACGTTGGGTTGCTCGGTCAATGGCCAGGGTCAAGGGCGGCGTGGTGTATTCCGCAAATATGCCCGACTGTGAGGGGGGGCACAAGCCGGCGTGAGTAGGTTAAACGTTGAGTTTTATAAGGGCACCACGGGGTGACCAGCCTTTCCCTACCCAACCCCACCCCTCCCCCCACCCAGCCCCACTCTCCCCACCCAGTCCCTCCCCACCCTCCCCACCCAGCCCCTCCCCACCCTCCCATCCCCACCCAGCCCCACCCTCCCCACCCAGCGCCACCCTCCTCTCCCCTCCCCACCCAGCCCCTCCCCACCCTCCCCTCCTCACCCAGCCCCACCCTCCCCACCCAGCCCCTCCCCACCCTCCCCTCTCCACCCAGCCCCTCCCCTCCCATAGCGATGGAGAACCCATGGGGTGCAAGGCTGCAGTCAAGGTTAGAACCACAGCTCTCGTGGGTAGATGCTTCCACTCGCGGTGGCATTATCAACAGCAACAAAAAAGCAACACCGCGCACATTTATCTCAACTTTTTTCCCCCCACCCCTCTCTTTCAAATGTGCCCCGATTCCAGGATCTTCAGGTGCATTTGGACGAGGCGCTGCACGGCAACGAGGACTTGACGGAGCAGAACGCGATGATGCGTCGCCGCAGCGACCTCCTGCAGGCCGAGATCGAGGAGACGCGGAGCGCCCTTGAGCAGACGGAGAAGTCCAGGAGGGTGTCAGAGCAAGAGCTGCTTGCCACCACCGAGCGAGTGCAGCTGCTGCATTCACAGGCAACGACAAAAATGTTAAATGTTTAAAAATCACGCTTTAATTAAATGTACCGTACGAGTAATGGCAGAACTCTACGACTCCAGGAAGTGGCCCCGAAGCTTGCCACAACGTAAGGGGGCTGTGGGCAATTACAGCCAACGTTAGTTGAGCGTGGACAATTAGACCAAAGCCGAAACAAAACATATAAAAAAGATTGTTTAAACATGTTTATTTTTTATTTTTATGATAGAATATTGTATTGTCATCAGTATGACATACGTATACCAAGTTTGCAGTCGATATCACATTGGGAAGTGGGTAAAAATTGAGTTACAAGATTTGAGGATACGACAACAACAGACAGAGTGAGTTAAATAAAAAGCGTGTAATAATACAAATTCGTATAATTCCCGTGATTAATCGTGAAGCTCAAACGGTGGTGCTTGACTGATTGATTCCGGTCTCAAATGACCATGAACACACACAACACACACTCTCTCACTCTCACACACGACTAAATGTGTTTGATGAGTGACACGCAGTACATCTGAATTCTTCCACTGTAATATCAGGCGTGGGGTTTGAAGGGTAAAAACATAACGCGCCATTTCTGTGCACAGGCCCAAGGGGACCCCGCGGGGCGAGTGAATGTGTCGTGAACAAGCGTTGCAGCAAGTCTTGATTTGAGAAATATTATAAGAAATTCGAAAGAGAAATGACCAGAGGGAGAGAAAGAGTGTTTGGGGCCTGTTTTCACTTGCCGCGCTGGTTGAACACAGCATGGATGAGACAAAACAATAAAATCTTAGACAGTGCAGATATTTTAGATATATCAATTTTGTAAAAATATATTTTATACAATACTGTAATCGCGCTTGAAACAAGTATAATGTAGCATTGATCCGTATTATGGACAAGTAATTAAAATATGCCACACTTATAGGAGCCAGGTTCTCATCGTGATGGGAAAAACTGAAGCGTGTAAAGACGCAGTGATTTTTTTCCGTATTGGTGGCGCATTGGAACCGTGGGTTGGCACACTGCGGCGCAAACCCAGTGACCCCAACTCGATTGCTGCCCATTTGTGGCGATTTGATATCTGAACCGGGACTGGGCAGTCCTCCCAAATTCGCCAGCCCGTGCTAATCAGTGTGACGGTGGCGGTGGTGGAGTGATCACAGAGCGCCCTGAATGAGTTGGCATGGGGAAGGGGGGGGGGGGGCTTAATCCAGCATTGGATTGACAGATGGCTGTAAGTCAACAACAACAACAATAATACTGTGAATTAGCTCAATGGTAGATATATGTTTTAATACACAGGCTTGTAGTCCTGGTTTATCGGTGACGTGAGTTATTGTAGGTTCGGCATCCTGTATGTACCGTTAATACTTTGTACGATGAATCTAAACATGTTTGCAAAAAAAGCGTTTTTCAAAATATACGATACGAAGAATTCCAAGTTAATATGTAGAATACTTAACACGTTTATCGATAACTTTGTGGCCTTTAAATGAAAACTATATAATAGATGACATTTTCGTCAATGGGTTCAAAGGGCATAGTGATGGAGTGGTTAAGAGTTGTGGCTCGATCAGAATAAAAAAAAAGGTTTCTTGATGAACAATTTTTTTTATTGTGAATAATAATTATTGACATGTGCATATACAAACATGTGCCGTCACGTCGTTCTTTTTTTTCAGAATATGTGTTTGATAAATTCGAAGAAAAAACTAGAAAGCGACCTTTTCCAACTTCAGTCTGAGGCTGAGGAAGCGCTCCTGGAGTCGAGAAGCTCGGAGGAGAAGGCCAAGAAGGCCATCACTGACGTGAGCAACCGCATCGCTCCGTTCAATGTTGAACGTTCCGCTGGGGGCAGAGCAAACTCCACTGATACCGTTGCCCACGAAACAACATCACGTGATACGAACGTCCACGTTACGAGTCCGATTGGCACGGTCGGCTACGTGCGGTGCGAAAGAAGTCCATTTAACACGTAGGAGGCTTTCGCGACCAATATTATTCATAATCAACGTTTTTGGGTTTAGATAGCGTTATTTATAAATGTGTTACAATTTGAGTACGACGTTTCGCTGGTAATTGCATCCAGCATCATCGGGCAATTCGCCAGAATGGTAAATTGTAAATGTTGTGGTTTCACGCTTCAACACACCGGTGGGCTAAAGCAGTGAACTATTTGTCTTTTGTCAACGTGACACTTTTTTGCTGATTGGCCGTGTCGGGTGGTGGAGGGTTACGACACATTTATAAATAACGCGATCTAAACCCAAAAACGTTGATTATGAAAGAAGTCCACCATACGCACGCGAGCATTCTCGCGATGTCAGTGTCTTTATTAAGTCGCGTCGTGACGAATTGCCGTCCCGTTTGGCCAGGCCGCCATGATGGCAGAGGAACTGAAGAAGGAGCAGGACACGAGCGCCCATCTCGAGAGGATGAAGAAGAACATGGAGCAGACGGTGAAGGATCTGCAGCACAGGCTGGACGAGGCCGAGCAGATCGCGATGAAGGGCGGCAAGAAGCACATTCAGAAGCTCGAGGCCAGGGTAATTATCCCGTCGGATGTGTTAGCGTACTGCTGGGGGATGGAGCAATGGCGCAGTGGTCGGTACACTGCGCTACAAACCTAGTGACCTGGGTTCGATCGCTGTTTCACTGATGACATCCAGGATGAGTGATATTCAAGCCAGTCCTGGATTCCTTCCTTCACTAACCCGTATTGACCAGCGTGGTGAAGTATGGCCAAACTACCCCCGTGACAACGCAGTGTCGAGAGGAATATCTGCAGTAGTGGATTGATAAAAGACCAACACTATAAAACTGGAACTAATGTTAGTCGATATCCATCTCTGTATCTCATTATGTACATTAAATTACCGAGATAGAGGATTTAATCGCTACTGGGTTCAAATGCCAAGCAGAGTTGACTCAGTCCGTCACGCATCTGCGATAAGTGACTCCACATTTTGTGGGAAGTCACCAGTCGTCATCCTCTACTGACACTTGGTTGAGTACTGTCAGAGGAATTTGGAATTTTCAGAAATAGTTGATACCCAACTTCAGAGATTCCTCTGATAGTGCTTTGGCCTTTTTGGACTGGTGATGCATGACTCTTTCTCTTCACGAAATCTGCAGCCAGTGGTCTTTCCATTTCCTCTTTGTACATTGCTGCATCTTTAAACCGAGATAGATTCCATGCCATGTGACACGCCACTCATGTCTAAGTCAGTGTATTTCTGTAAGGGAGGCATATGCTTGTTTGAAATAAACACACCAAGGCAGCACCGATACAATTTATGTTTCCCAGGTGCACGAGTTGGAGGCTGAAGTTGACGCTGGACAAAGACGGAATTCTGAAGCCGTCAAGGGGACACGAAAGTACGAATCCAAAATCAAGGAACTCTCCTTTCAGGTAACTGCTGTGAGCAGTATTGCGATAAACGCAACAATAGACATTTACCATGATGTATTCTCATAGATTTTAAGCATTGCTTGAGTTCAAGGGTGCTGCGATATATCCACAGGCTGAAGAAGACCGTAAGAATTTGCTGCGTCTGCAGGATCTGGTTGACAAGCTACAGCTTAAAGTCAAAGCTTATAAGAGACATTCAGAGGAAGCTGTGAGTTGTAACAATGCCCAGACAGATCACTTCTACTGGGGCTCCACCGAACACAGTTACAATGTTGCACTTTGACAAAAAACGTTTATTCATAATATATGTTTTTGGGTGAGATCGCATTATTTATAAATGTGTCGTAACCCTCCACCACCCGACACGGCCAAACAGTAAAACATGTGTCACGGTTTCAAAGAACAAATTGATTGACTTCTTTAGCCCACCGGTGTGCTGAAGAGAGAATCAACAGCATTTTAAAATTTGAGTAGTACGACGTTTCGCTGATAATTACAATCAGCTTCATCGGGCAAGATTGGTGAAGCTCTCCTGTTGCTTCCGGTCTTAAATAGAGCAGCATCAGGGTGACGTCATCATTTAATTCAATTCAATCTGTCGAAGGTTATCCTTCGACACTGGCCAGACAGACATGCGACCAGCCGATAGACTAACCGTGGCTCTGCCGATTTACCCGACACGCTGCGTTTACAAATCACCACGGGTGAAATAAATAATTTAAACTGGAAATAAAAATGTACAGTACTTAAAAAAGTGCTAAATATAACAAACATAGGCGTAAATCCTTCACTCAAGAGGAATCAACATGTGATGTTCAACAGGTTATTAATCAGTCTGGGATGTTATATTAAATTCACACTATTTACAGAGCAATTGCATTTCACTTAGGACATTAAAAACAGCTATTCGATCTGGCAGACGCAGTGGTTTCAATTTCAAAAAATGACAGCCACCAAAGCGTTAGTGGCTGCTGTGAGACATCACAAGCGTCGGTATTTAATTTACTATCTTCAATTCCATGCTCCGGTGAAATGTGATCTTGGACGTGTAGCCCTAAAATGTTAAGGCCCCATAAACCCCACAATCTTTGGTCGTTGTAAAAGCTGCATCCCATCGTCCGCGGTGCAGGAGGAGCAAGCAAATGTGAGCCTGTCAAAGTATCGCACCCTGCAGCACGAGCTGGATGAGGCTCAGGAGAGAGCTGACGTCGCCGAGTCTCAGGTCAACAAGCTGAGGGCCAAGTCTCGTGATGTGGCCAGTCAAAAGGTAAAAAAATTTACCCGTAAAAACAAACTTTTTCACTATAAATCCTTTATATGCGTGGCATCGGGGCGGCTAGAGTCCTCTCGTCCTCTGGCTTGAGATGGCTGCCACCTATGGGTCAGATAATTGTCTGCCACCATTAAGCAATTGGTAATTAAATATTGAAATTTTTTTCCCTAAACAGTGTACAATTTTTGAATTTTTTTTCACGAAAATTAATTGTCACGCACAACGAGTCTGTGTGCAAAATGTCAGCTCGATTGGATCACGGGAAGTGGGTTAAAAAACGACCGATAGATTTGAACGGTCGTAAGCAAGCAAGCAAGCACGCAAGCAAGCAAGCAAGTGAACTTAATATAAAGGATTTTAAAAAGGCTTGGCCTCGCAAATTGACTCACTGAGGCAGGCCGGCTGCTGGTGTGAAGGGGTTCAAGAGAGAGCCTGAGAGGTGGGATCGAAGCAGCAAACCTCTGGATTACAAGCACAGGCTGCTAACTATTTCACTTCGGCAGTATCCCGATTACAAAGTACGAGAAAGTACTTTGTGCAGAAAAACGACCACGTCCATAACAGATCGACACAGCCAACTCGTAAAGAAGACCACGTGTTCAGACAGAGACTTCCCCCTATTCCCACGAATTAACAACTGGTTAATGGACGTCATCGTCACTAACTCAGTGCCAATGTTGAGAGAGAATAAAAATGTTCACGCAAATACAGATTTCACATTGCAACTATTCACTTGTGATCATGTTGTTGTTTACATGTTGTTAGGTCCTTAACGCAAACAGTTCTTCATACAATTGAGCTTGCGTAAATATTGACGTCAATCTGTTGACATGTTTACTTCATCAAAAGTGCACCGGGCAGTTTTCAGGCAATTGCCTGTCGTTTTTATTGGAACAGACAAAGTGCTTTTGGGAAGGAATCAAATTCTGTCAACTCGAGTTGTGTTATTTTTTTTAAACAATACCAGAACACGTCAAAAGAAAGTGGGAAAAATTCTGCTGCTGATAATGCACCACGTGATGGGCTCAGTAGTGGCGTGTGCAGAGTAAATGTAGAGGTGGAAGTGCGGCGTGGAAGGGCATGTCGGTATCACACAAGCTTCGCAGAGACTCGACACCGCACATTAAAATACGAGCATCTTGCCAGGACCCAGAGTAGTTGTTAAAACATCGGTGACACCACACAAAGACTTTAAAAAGTATACTCGTTGGTTCTTTCGGTAAAGTCACGTAGGTAGAAATAAAATAAATAAAACAAATCACGACGTTTCGATCGCAACACAAGCGAACTTCATCAGGTGGGACAACCACAGCAAGAAAATACTGAAGTCGGCGCAAAAGTGTAAACAAGCCAGCTAAGATTTGTTTTACAAAAAGGTTGTTACATTGATTGCTATGAAAATGGGTGCCATGGTGGCGAAATGTTAACCACCTCGCCTGGTATACAGGAGGCCGTGGGTGCGATCCCGACCCTGACACCTGCTGTATATTTGGAGTTGGCATGTTCTCCCCGTGGTGGCGTAGATTTTTCTCAGGGTCCTCTGGGTTTTTCCTCGACATTTAGAAACATGCTTTGAGAGTATTTGGCTGCTATACATTTCCACACGATAAGCCACTTCGTTGAGCTATCACTTGTGGCCAGGTCGCTACTGAAAAATATCTAAAAAGCTGAGTCGGCCTTACTGAGTCAAATTAATATAGTTTGTTTTATAGCTTAATAGTTCTTGAGCAACATGTGTCTGTAAATCAAGGGGTTTAAAGCTTTGAATAGGTAAATAAACAAATAACATTTTAACTCTGAAGGAAATGCTTCGATGGGTGAAACTTAAAAAGAGGACATCTGAGACGGTGAGCAGAGAGAGCAGCTGCAGGCACTTTGCCTGAACCCATTCCTCACGACCCATCAGCCACGTGACGTTGATGAAGTCAGCACAGAGAAAGACGTGGTTAAGCGCGGCCTTGAAAATAAACTTGCTTATGTCACTGCTGGAAGAAGGGCGTCAACGAGAGGGAGCCATAGAGAGCCCCTATTCGAGGGTGCTTTGCCTACTCTTCCGTGCTGGACAGACGACTTGAAAGCGGCGCCAGCAGTGGCTAGGAGATGTTAACTACCTCGCCTGGTATACAGGAGGTCGTGGCTTCAATCCCGACCCTGACGCCTGCTGCTGTATATTGGCAGTCTGCGTCTCTTTCTCTCTCTCTCAACGTGCATTTAGAGTATTTGGCTGCTATACATTTCCACATGATAAGCCACTACGTTGACCTATCACGTGTGGCCAGTTCGCTTCTGAAAAAGAAAAGTACGTACGCATGAAGGGGGGGGGGGGTGAAGCCTCGATAATAATTTGTCTACATTGGCCTCAAATAAGTTAGATAGTTTGGCAGTGGACTATCTGTTTGCTTAAACACGTTAATATTATTAATCCTTGATCGTTTCTACGCGGATTCAATATCGGCCGTTCTATAGGATTTGGGGGGGGGTCAAGTTTTGACAGATTTTGCGTACCTACTAAATGGATGGCCCCTTACCTGGTAAAATACAAAAAACTTAGAGATGAGAGCACCCACACTTCACGCGAACTGCCACTCAACGAACTAGCTTGGTAATGTCTCATTCTTCACCTGAGGACGGCTGCTTGCGTTGTGGCCGAAACGTCGTGAGAATTATTTTATTTTATTATGTTTTATTTTTATTATTTTATTGCTTCCCTTCTACGTGACTTTACCGAATGAACCAAGAAGATGCGGTGTACCTATTTATACTGCTGCGTGGACAGAGACGTGCTAAGAAATTAAGAGATTTACCCCGTTGTTTAAACTGCTGAGATGGGACAGGCAAACTCTGGTTTACAGGTCAAGTGTGCGAACCATCACCCGACAGCAGCGTCCCTTGTAAACGGGAAACAACGAAGTCCACGTACGCACAATATTCTTTAGCGCGTTGTATTCACATAGCGCCTCTGATTAGCGTTTGACAAATCGTTATTGCTTGGCAGTGGTGGTGCGGGCCCCTTCGGGAGGCTCTAAGTAGATTTTCTTTTTTGGTGCCTGCCCTTACACGCTGTGTGTGTTTTTTTTTTATAAACCCTCGTCACACGACAGAATAGATGCAGGCAAGAGATGGAGATGCGGTGAGCTGAGAGGAGAGATACGGATGAGGACGATGTAGAGCAGTGACACATGGAGTTAGATGAGAGTTGAGATTACCGGCAAAATAACGACGAGAGATTTGATTGTTATGAGAATCATCTATGCATGTGTAGTATCAGGAGTCGAATTCGAGCTGATATTTGGTTCGGCAATTTTTTTTTTTCTTGAATGGCTTTAAGGCTCGAAGCGTTTGCTTCATTTGCATTTGTCGAGCGCAGCGTTATTCACTAATTGCAAAGGAGGGCTACTTTCACCGATAAGACATCATCAGCGCGAGGTGCTACCACACGTTTGAAACCATTGGGGGTTTGCCAGCAGTGCGATTACGGTGATGGCTGGGGGGGGGTGTTGTCACTCTGTGTCGATTGTCGGGGTGGGAGCTATGAACCTGGCGGCCCGAGTTCGATTCACGCTCACGGTCAACACCAGTGACGATTATCTGAACCAGTCCTGGGCCTCCCCTAGGTCGACTCGGCCTCAAATGAGTATCTTGTTGCGATGTGTAAACATCGCACTAGGGAGACAAAGGCGGTCGAGCGTGGTGCTGGCCATCCACCCTCTCGTGTACCGTTCCGGCCTTCATGGGTGCTCGCTAACAGCACTTGTCCCTACAGTCTGTTACAGGCTATACGGGGGATCTTTGTCTTTATTGTCGGGGTGCCACGTGTCAGGGGCCGCACTAAAGGCCTCCAGGGGCCGTCAGTGACCCGCGGGGCCTTGCAGCGGAGAACGCCGCTTGAGCATCACCACTGATCCTCACTTGATAGGCAAATGACCCGGTTACCTGTGGCCAACGAAGTAATGTATCCTGATATAATCTATATATATGTATTTTAATGGAACATATCTTTGAATGGTAAGCACACCTCATGACACGCAAAGTTGTGAGAGCTCCATATGATGATGGTAACAACGGCATTTTCAGTTGAAATAGTTCAACAGTTTAGAGAAGTTTACATTTTGTTGATGGCATATGGTTTTGGATAACCGCAAGCTAATATTTGACAGGAATTATATTACAAAATACATTTGTAATGTTACTTGTGATAACAAAAAACACAAGACAAACAAGTATATTTGTTTTTATATATTTATTGAAATCAGGTCAAAGCATCAGAGATTCATGGTTGAATGAATAAGAAATTGCACAATCCACAGACATCCAATATTCATGTAAGAGGTTCTTTAGCATTATAACATTTACAATAGAATGTTGATCAGTTATTGTGGTGTTATCGATGTAGGGCACGGTTAATGACTTTCATGATAAACACATTGCTGATTTGAATTACATGTACTGACATGAATCCACTCTATCCAATTACAGAGTTTAGAGAAGAAGTTGATGAATGGCCCTAACCAGGGAGTTAAGAGACAGAAAAGGGATTAAACAACCGTGTCGTTCTTCTTGGTTCTTTCGGTAAAGTCACGTAATTATATTACAAAATACATTTGTAATGTTACTTGTGAATTACGTGACTTTACCGAAAGAACCAAGAAGATGAATCCCTGCAGTCACGAAAGCTTTAAATCGAAATTTAACCGTGTCGTTTGTTCAATAACTTTTTGGAAAATCTGTCCAACATTTTCAAGTATCATCAGTTGTCACGATCTACCTACTGTTGGGCGAAGTCCCTTTGCCGTGCCGTTGCCATGTCTAAGTTTTATTTGCGTCCCATCGAACCCCCCCCCACCTCCTTTGACTGACGCTCTCTTCTCAGTCTTGAACCAACAGCCAAAGGACCTTGCGTTATCTTCTTGGTTCTTTCGGTAAAGTCACGTAGAATGGAAATAATAAATAATAAAAATAAGACATAATAAAATAATTCTCACGACGTTTCGGCCACAACACAGCAGCCGTCTTCACCTGATTTATTTTGTTTTATTTTTATTATTTTATTATTTCCATTCTACGTGACTTTACCGAAAAAACCAAGAAGATGAATCCCTGCAGTCACGAAAGCTTTAAATCGAGACCTTGCGTTAGATTTCATCTCAATTATTCCAGCGCGGAGTGGCGTTTTTGTTGGTGTTGCCTCAGGGAAACCCCCTGATAGCAGTTCTCTCGCCCCCCGAGAGGTGCTATGTTGTTACCGATGTACAATTGATTTTAACGCGTGTCTTTTGTGTGTGTGTTTTTAGGTGAGAGGTGATGCTGAAGAATAAAAACAGCGCATGTATTGAACTGTACCCATTGTTATTATTGCATGCCTACTATATTTATGTTCTCAAAGAATGCAGATATGCAGTACTTTGGTGTGAGAGGTACAGTCATAAATAATAATAAAATGAATCAATAAAAACACTGAAAACTGAACGGTTTCTTACTTTTTTTCATCTTATATTACTCAACAGAACTCAGTTGCACAGCTGCAGGGGGGATGTGTTTTGCACTTATCAAAGGCAGTTTGACATAGCTCAGTGTGTGCCTAATTACGTTCAAAAGTTAACCACATTGATCACTCATTATTCACGCGATTGGCCTCTGAAGGCCCACGCTGCCTTCGGGCAGTGCAGAGCTCGTGTCTGGCACTTCCACTCAACAAGACAAAGATCCGTCCTGTAGCCTGAGCAGCCTGTGAGGGCAGGCGCACAGCACAAGAGGGGTGTTAACACCGTGCCCCGCCGCCTTTGTCTCTCCAGTGGCGATGTTTACACATCACACCAGGTACTCGTTTGAGGCTGAGTCGACCTAGGGGGGGCAGGGGTTCAGATAATCGTCACTGGTGTCGGCCGTGAGCGGGAATCGAACTCGGGTCTCCGGGTTCGTAGCGCAGCGCGCCGGCCACTACACTACCGCTCCCCACAATGCAGTGCGGGCAGGTAGTCACATTCAAATGTCCCAAATGTTCATTGCATCTGCAATCCTATTTGTGTTTCTGACCACGTATGTGTGTTGAACTTCTTTCGCACCGTACGTAGCCCACCGTGCTAATAGGAGGTACGGGGAAGGACAACAAACGCAGTTTTAAAGAAATTTGTTTTTTTTTGTATCTAGATTTAAAAGTGCACAGCTGTAGTCTCTTCCTAATATCGGAAGGAAGAGCGTTCCGGACGGCCGCAGAAGCGCATCTGAAAGAGCCGCGTGATGCGGCGACCGTCTTTGTCCGATGGCCAGCCTTGTAACAGAAACATCCACGTATGTTCCCCGTGCGAATGCGGTGTGAGCAGTCTCGTGCCGTGAGAGGCGGCAGCGAGACGGGTGCATGGATACATTGCCTCTTGAGTGGCGTCGAGATGGGAACACCGTTTTAAGAAGGGCGGAAAAACAACACCTCTGCATCGTAGGGAAATTACTGATCAAGGTTTGTATGACGCTTCAAATGCCTCAGCAACTCAAAGCACCTTACACCTCATCTCGTCCCAACCCTTGCCGTGCTCTGCTGCAGTCTCGCCATGGGGCCCCCAGTGGCAGGAGGCCCTGTGCGGCACAAGGTGGAACCCTTTAGTGTCTCAGGATTTTGTTGGGCAATTCCGAAAATAGTGCCCGAAGGTCCTGTGACACCGTTTCCAAGAGGTGGGCCCATTGCGCCTCTGATGTCGTGCCACAGTGATTTGTGCACTCCACTATATCCCCAGCCACAGCTGACATCGGCAGTGAGTGATACATATTTTTGTTTGTTTCATCATTGCCAAGCACGGCTAAGATGAACGTCGAGTGATAACCGAACTGGTCCCGGTGTCCCGTTTCACCAAACCGCACTGACCGGCGTGGAAAAGTGTGGTCTGCAACCTCCATGAATACCACTGTGGGGAGCCCTCAAACAGCATTGGCTGGACAGAGACCTCCAAATTATTACTACGATTTTAATTTCGACAGTTCCCCCCCCCCCCTCCGCTTAAGATTGCATTCATTTCAGTGGTTCTCTCCCGACTTAACAATGCATCGTATTAGCAGCAATTTATTGACACAAAGCCCAACGTGTGATTTCTAGCCGAGGAAATGCGCCGTACATTTTGACCAGGTTCGGGAAGGAACGTTTGTTCAAGTCATCTTGCAAATTCGCTTGCATGTGCTGTCCCTCTTCACCCCCTCCTCGTGACAGCGACACGTGTGACTTTGCTGGACTCCGTGAGTGACAGATGCCCCACGTGGCCCTCATTCAACATGTCAAGCTGTCATGCTCCATGTTAAGTCCTCTAATCGTGGAATGTTAAGTTTTAACGGCTGAAAGGAGATCAACAAAAATCTTGAAAGGTGTTCAAAGTAATCCACAATAATATATGCACATTGGTATTGTTTTTTTTTACAGATACTGATTTTATTAACAGATGCTTATTACAGATTCTCTCTAACTCTGTGCACATCCTGTATACATAAAGCATCGTCTTCAAAATGTCACGTTCACATTTACACTTTCCACTGGCTTGGTTATATGTTGAGAAACGATGCGCTCACAGACATTATAACCCAATAAATGTCACCAAGTATTTTTTATTCGGCTTCCCTTATTCATATTTGCACGATGAACAGCACAAATTATACAGAGTCTTCTTCAATAGTTGTATTGTCACACAGCCCCATGCTAGCGACAAAAACTTCACCCTGAATATAGTTCACGTTAAATCTGAAATCATAGCGACTACTCGGGCTCTCAGGAAGACACTCAGTGGACAGGCATCAGACCAACACTGAATTGCACGCAATTAAGATTGTAAAAAAAAACCGCGATAACCCCTGCGATTCAAAACCTTTGCTTTACAGAACAATATCAGAGAACTCGCCCGAAGTCGATTTAAGCGAGGAAAGCCACCTTAGAATGTTAACGCCGCCACCACGAAAACGTTGAGGACTTCATTTGCTTTGCACTCTGCGACATTGCCTTCAGCCTCGAGCGCTGAGCCTGGCAGCAGCAGCTGCTCGTCACTTGCCTGTAATATATTGCGTAACAGATGATCAAATTACAGTTAAGAATGTATTCTTGGTTCCTTCGGTAAAGTCACGTAGAAGGGAAATAAAAATATGATAAAACAATAATACAAATAAAACGTAATAAAAATACATTTTTTTAAATTTCCCTTCTACGTGACTTTACCGAAAGAACCAAGAAGATGAATCCCTGCAGTCACGAAAGCTTTAAATCGAAAGTTAAGAATGTCTTAAGCGTGTATACTGGCGGTTGCCGATGTACTGTAATTGCGGAGTCCTCTTAAATAAAATTAATTAACTATATCGATACGTACTTTTCGCAGATTTTCTTCTTTTACACCTTTTCGTTTTTTTGTTTACAACTTTCATTCAAAAAAACGTTCATTCAAAAAACTACGTGGCCAGGAATCGACACGCGCGCTACACATCGCCTCTTTTCGTGCGCGCACCGCAGGCTACGAATTAAAGTTGTGAAAATGCGCCAGGACGAATCAAAGGTTACAAACGAGTTCAGCGCGCCGAGACAAGGCAGCGTTGTCCCCTGCAGACCGCAGCGGCAAATGAGGCAGGAGCTGTAGGGGAGGAGGAGGAGTGGGGGGGCATCTTCTTTCTCGCGACAGTCACAGAGTCGGGATGTCGCTGAATCAGAAAAGGGTCTATTTTTAAAAAAAAAAGTTAAAGTGGATGCTAACGACCATTAAAGGCAACAGACCTTGCCACTTGTGGGCGTAACGGGGTGAGACAACGGGTGGCAGCTCTGTCAATCTCTGTGCCTCTCTCTCTCGTGCCCGCATGCAAATGAGGGCGTGCACGACGTTTGTGCTGTGTCTGGAGTAATTCTCGCCTATAAATGTATCACCGCAGCGTCTCAGAGGGCACAGACCCTGGGGTGGCAGCGGGAGGTAGGTGTGTGGTCGGCCCATCAGCGCCGTCTCTGTCTCTGTGTCTCTCTTCCTCCGTGAACTTTTCGCAAGCAATTGGTACATTTGCATAGCATCACACTTGATTGTTTAAAAAAACGATATTTCACGAGACGTATGTGGTAATTGCTATTTTTTTTCCTTTTAAGGCTCAGCTGCTGCTTTTACCTTCAAGTTATACAAAGGTGAGTTTTACTACATTTTGCGTTTTTGAGTATTTTACGTTTGCACGTGAATGCACATATTACATTTAACAAAGAGCTTAGCTTAACAACAAAAACAATATTTTTTTCTACGGTTCGAACACAACTGGACTACACATTTGATTTAGCTGCTCTGATTGCATCTCATTGTAAAAGAAGATATGAAAACGCAAAAGCAGTAAAGTACTGTATAACCATCCCACGGGCAAATTCAGATATATAATAACGATTTATTTTTTCTACCTACGTGACTTTACCGAAAGAACCAAAAAGTATGGATTTCTGCAGGAACAAAAACTTCAAATCAAGATCAAATAAAATTGTTTAAATATAATAATTACATATATAACGATTTTCATAAAGGATCTCAAAGCGCTGTATAGGACACAGCAGTGGCAGACACTCAGCATAAAATAATGTTATAAAAACACTTAAATAATCATTTACTAAATGAACTAAACGTTTAATAAGCAGAAGCATATAAATAGGTTTCAATTAGCATTTTACAAATGTCCACAGGCTCAGAGAGATCCCTCATATCTCGTGGAATAAGAGCGTTCCATAGCCTCGGGGCGACACGGGAAAAAGCCCGGTCACCCATAGACCAAAATCTTGACCTGCGAATTCAGAGAAGATCTGCATCTTTAGATATTCGGGACCTTGAGGGGAGATATGGGTGCAACATGTCAATGATGTAGGCTGGGGCAAGATGATTAACTGTTTTGTAAGTTAACAATATGATTTTAAACTTATTATATGGCAAACTGAAAGCCAGTGCAGTGAGGCCAAAACGGGTGGAAAATGATGTGAAGGTGTTCTGGTTAACACCGTAGCAGCCACATGCTGCAAATTGATGAGCACCTTAGCCACGCCAGGGAGGAGTACGACATTTGCAGTATGTCTATGCGAGATGAGATGAAAGCATGGACCAGCTTTTCTGCATCTAAGGCAGAGAGAAGGGATCTATACGGGAGAAATTCCGAAATCGTTAAGTCACAAGGGTGGATCAGTGGGTATGACCTTTTTTACCCAAGTTTTGACTTATCGCCATGGCTAAAAAAATAATCAAAGTGATACCTGAACTGATCCTTGGATATATATTGCCTTAATTTTATTTAATTTTGTTATAAATCATGAATGCTCAGCACAGAAACAATGGTCGACAGCACAAAGCAAGCAGCAATCAATAGGACAAATGATGGTAGAGCAGAACACAACTTGTTTTTTTTAATTGAGCAATGCTTTGGGATGTTTTGTTGTTGTAAAGACACAATGGGAGGTAGTT